CTGGAAGGACTAAATGAGGGAAGCCCTTCCGTACAGTCGGTAGCTTTTCGTGGCCCAGATGTAAAGAGCCCTGAGAGACGACCCATGATGCACTTTGTCTGCTTGCTCCACCCCTCACTGATGAGTATATCCACCCTGCCTTTAGCACCACTCCGGCTCTTCCCTTTGCTGACATTCAAACCCAGCTTTTTCAGCCCTCGGGCCCAGACTGACGGCCATATCTAGGAATCCCCCAGGTCTTCGGAGCTGTATATGTGAGGTAGGAAACGGGACGCATCTCGTGAGTTCAAGGAAGCCTTTCTTCTTGCCTTGGACGGTCTCTCAACTCTGATGCCAGATGCTCATGGTCACACTAAACGTCCAATGAGTTAAATGGACTCGGGATTCTTGCCTTGTGAAACCCAAGAGTAAAATCCAGACTACAGAGAGTGGCTTCTAGAAAGAAGGCTCTTACAGTTTGGTAGGTAGGAGCTTGTGCAAAAAGGAAGGCTAGACAGTGCATAGTATCAGTGGGTCCCAGGAAATGGGGGTACCACTGTACTGCTGATCTGGGGCTTTTTAGAGGGCAAATGGCAGAACTAGAGGTACGCACGGGGCGGTGGCTAGTCCAGTTGTCCCCATCCCGAGGTGCCCAGATGTCTCATCTCAGTTTCGTTCACATCCTCAGGCAGAGCTTCCACGCAAGGGCAGAGAGATGCAAAACTTTCTTTTGGCATCCCTAATGCCTCCAGCAAGAACTTCACTGAACAGTTTTGAGGTCTCTGCCCTACCCAATGCCACCTTTTTTGAGTCTCTACATCCCTGAAACAACTTTAGAGGCAGACACTGACTGGGTTCGCGCTTTCATTACCAGGGCAGTTCTTGTATATGGAGCCAGTGTGGCTGCTGAAATTGGGCCCGTTTTCACCCAGCAAGCAGGTGGAGCAGGACTTTACTGTCTTTGAGGGTTATGTTTCAAAGTGTCGACTCGAGGCCATGAGAAAACATCTTGGGCTGTTGAACTGTCACGAAGTTTGTGCAGTGTCTAAAAATATTTAAATGTATTTGAAAAGGACACAGAAGCAAAATTCTGAAAAAAGAAGGCAGAGAGTCTCTTCCGACTACTTTTCACTTTGGATCTGCTCTTTTGTGTTCCCAGCAGTTAGAACAAGGTGTTTGTGGGCACCCGCTGTTGGTAGGATGAATGAAGGAATGATGGATCCTGGTGTGTGATTATATATACAAGAGCTTGATCTGACTTCAAGCCCTGTTTGCAAACTGGTCCATGTAAAAATTATTGCACAAGACATGAGCAGGTGTTTTGCTTCCATTTTGCTAGTTGACCATCTATTCTCTCTGTGGTTCTCTTTTGCTTAGCCTTTTTCTTCCCTTTAAAGATTGCTTTTTAATTAATATGGAATAAAATTAATCTTCTAAAAAATATCATGTTCAATGAGTTTTGGCAAAGTGTGGCTATGTAACGTGGCTTGTTCTGATGTGAAAACTTTCTCCTCGTGACAGGGCAAAGGGACCAGGGAAAGTTACAGATGAAAGAAGCCAGCGTGCAGGGTAAGACTGGAAACCCTTTCCCACCTGGGCCACATAAATCAAATCGAGCCTGCTCGGAAGAGCTGTGGGAGTGGATACTGTGTAACTGTTTTAAGGTAGCCCAGTTCTTTTGAGTGATTCCTTTCCCTTTGCTCTCTAGGCCCCTCCTTTCTTGGGACAGCCTTTGCTGTCTTAAATGGCCTCTACTTCCACCTCTAACTGTGTGTTCAGCCAGTTCTTTGCCATGGAACACAAAAGCCTGGAAGCTTCGGTGGGTCCTTTGGAACCCAGATTCATGCTGTAACCCCCCTGAAAAGGTGTCCCTTAGGGTCTTCGGTCTCTTTCCTCGCCCACTCCCAGATCTGTCAACCCTGTGCCCGTTTTCTCTGCTTGGAAGTTCGGCCTGTTCTAAGATACAACTTGAATGAGGTGATACTGTACGTCGTCATTCAGCCTGCCTCCTTTTGCTTCTCAAAATACACGTAGCATCCATCAGTTTGTTGTATGTACTAGCAGTTCAGTTTTATTGCTAAGTAGTACTACATTGGATAGCTATATCACTACTTGTTGGTCCAGTTATCCATTGAAGGACGTCTGGATTGGAGCGATAATGAATAAAATATTTCTGACATTTGTATTCTAGCTTTGTGTAAGTGTAAGTTTTTGTTTCATTTGGCAAAAACATCTATGGATGAGCCTCTCAGCTTCTAGGTATCAGGTATGTGCATGTTATAGATCAGTGATTCCCAATATGTGGGGTGTGGTCCCTTTGGGCAAGTCAAATGACCCTTTCACAGGGATTGCCTAAGACCCTAGGGAAATACAGGTATTTTAATGTTTAATGTTACGAAACATTACATTTCATAACAGTAGCACAATTGCAGTGATAAAGAAGCAATGAAAGTAATTTCATGATTGGGGAATCACTGCAAACATGAAGAACAGTATTAAAGGACCACAGTGTTGCATCAGGAAGGTTAAGAACCACTGTTATAGATTAAATATGAGGGAATAGCAAGAAGGGGGGCATCCTGAAAGCCAGTAATGGAGTCCTCACCAGAAAGCAACTGTGCTGGTAACTGAATTCTAGCTTCTAAAACCGTAAGAGATGTCTGTTCTTTAAGCTGTTAGTTCTATGGTATTCTATTACAGCAGTTCCAAGTGGCTAAGGTAATACACACTTAATTTTATCTGAAGAAGCTTCCAAGCTGTTTCCCAAAGTTAGGGTACCATTTTACACCCTAACCAGCAGTGTACAGATGTTCCAAGTGCAGAGCTGGAGAGATGGCTCAGCAGCAAAGAGCACCTACTGCTCTGGAAGAGGCCAAAAGCTCTCTTCCCCACACCCAAAGGCTTGCCACCATCTGTAACTCCAGTTCTCAGGAGTGTGATGTCCACACCGCTTCCATGGTTACCTGCCTGCACATGTTCATACATGCACAAGCCCATGAACATGCATCCCTGGGGGCATTCGATATTGTGAAAATATCTCTTATAGTCTAAGAGCCTAGAATGGTGCTTTTGCTGGGCCTCAGAGCCAGAGTTACTAGTACAACATGGGCTCGCTGAAGATGTAAGACTGCTAGCTTATTGTGTCTGCAGCCTGTGTGCTTAACCAGCTTCTAAAGGATAGTGTAACAGCCATGCTTGCCCGAGATTTCTCATGTAACCAACTTTGCAACCTAATCTGATATATAGCTATAATCTTAAGTTATGTGCTCCTCATGCAGAACTATGCATGTGTATTATTTGACAAAAGCAACAAATACAGATGCTGAAAGCAACCTTCTAAAATTAATGCCCACTGTAAATACTGAATGTAATATCTGGATATTGGTTAATAAATAATGATATTCACAGTACTGCTTGCTGTCTGGGATTGGTTGGGGGCTGGTGACTTAATCCCTTGTTAAAGATGTCTGTAAAGTCTCCCACCCTTTCCCCATGTGATGCTTTCTGTACCGCTCAATAGCCCAGTACTATAGTATAGTGTAGTACAGTACTACTGAATGCCAGAGCAAAGTCCTTTGTTAAAGACAGGCAGAGACAGACACAGGGATACACATTGGTGGGGATGGACAGACACACAGAGAGCACACAGTCACAGACACAGGGACAGATTCACAAGGAAGCCTCTAGGCAGGCACAGACTCACACACCATATAAACAGAGGACTGAAGACACAGGAGCAGAAAGTAGAGAATTCAGATCCGGACTCCCTCTGGGTGAGATGACTCCAGGGAAAGGTGCTTTTATTTCTTTCCTTAATGCGAGACCGATGTGGTTTTGGTGACTCAGGATTCATCACTAGTGTGTTTAAACCATGCATACCCCTAAGTAAATTATTTCTTTTAATCTTAAAAAACCTCCTTAAAGAAAAAAAAGCCAGTTGCTTAAAAGTTCTCATTAACACCTGGTATTACCTTTCTCATTTTCCTCTGAATGCAAAGTATTCTAATGGGTCTGTTGTCCTTTTAATTTGGATATCTCTAGTCACTAATGATGTTGATCTTGTCATGCTTAATAGAGCTTGACACTCTCCCAAGCAGGTCCACTTGGCCTTTACTATATATAATGCGCAATGCGCAGCTCAGAGGCACGGAGAGCTGGGAAATGTTTATCCCAGTCAAGGATACAAAGCTAGGGCACCAGTAAGGACAACCAGAAAATACTGGCCTCTATTATTGAAGGCATCCAGAATACGCTGATCTAACATATGCCTGTTTGTCACGAGCAGTGCTCTGGGCTGAAAGCAACTGAAGATCAGGAGATGCAGGAAAACTTGGATTCTCTTTATCCTGCCTAAAAACCACGGTAAAACTCCCTGTGGGAGGTTTTCTCCTCAAGTTCTCTGCTGGCTTAAACCCCACCCACCATTACTTTCTTGCCTGTTTCCTAATCACTTTCTCAACCCCACTCTCTTTTGTTACGAAGACATAATGGGACCCCAAGTTTCATGGGGCTAGTTATTGGGATGCTGTCTTTATTGCATTGCAATGGATAAATAAAATACTCAAAGCTTTTTGATTTTTTTCCCCTACTCCAAGTACCACGCTCTGTGTCCTTGTCTTTCCAGATGGAAGAATAAACACATCGAGCTGCTTTGACATTCTTCCTGCATTTCAGCTGCTGTCAGGACAAATTTCACAGATGAATTAGCTTCTTAGAGCTGTTGCAAGAAGTTACCATAAACGTGGTGGCTTAAAACAAAGAATATTCAACTCCGGATTGACAGCGGGGAAACCTGTATAGGCCCGAACTAGACCCTCTGAACCTCTGAATGTGGGTGACTTGGGCAGTCTGTGGGGTCACTGGCAGTGGGACCAGGATTTGTCCCTACTGCTTGTTCTGGCTTTTTGGAGATCATTCCCTTTGGAGGGATACCTTGCTCAGCCTAGATATAGTGGGGAGGGCCTTGTTCCTGCCTCAGAGCAATATGCTAGACTTTGTTGACTCCCCATGGGAAGCCTTACCTTCTCTGAGAAGTGGATGGCAATTTTTCTTAGTGCGTTGTATCTTCAGATCAAGAAGTTGGGACATGTGGAGTAACAAGACACTAAGTCTTAGGGACTTTGGTCCTGGGTTTCTTATCTTCTTTGTTTAAGGGCTTTCTGAGAGCATTTTGGCAGACATCATCTTCTGTAGAGATCAGAAAGTTTGGGAATTCTGCTAGTCCTTTTGGGCCCCAACCTCTGAAGCATCCTAGTATCTGCCAGTCCAGGAATATCCAGACCACTCTTTTTTCTTTTTTACAGTAACAAGGTTGAGAATACACAGATTGGATTCCACAGTGCATCTCTGAAAAGACCTGCGTTTCTCAACAGTCCTCCTTGGTGTAGACAGCAAGAATGCTCCTTACTTAACAGCAGGTGCACTCTGCTGTGGGTCAAAACCTTGTCTGGCATTCCTACTATGGATTCGAATCACATAAGCCTTCCATCTTCACCCAGAGTATCAGCAGCTGCTTCTGTGGTCACAGCTTCTCACAGGTGTGGAGCTGGCACTCAGCGTCCACTTCAGCTGGTTTCTGACACAGGGTGGCTGCAAAGGAGTTATTCAGCTTCCCCACAATACAGCTGTTGCCTAGGAGAAAAAAAATCATATTTTTTTCTTGTTGTTGTATTATGATTGTATCTGAAACTATCTGATTTCCAAGTAGGTTCCAATTCTCGTGATGCTTTAGTCAGATTTCCACTGGAGTGACAAAATGCCAGAGATAGATCAAATCAAAGGGAGACTGGGTCCAGAAGTTTCAGGCTGTGGCTATCTGGCCACCAGTTAGGTCTGTGAGAAGTAGAAAATCATTGTGGGGAGCAGGGGCATGCAGTAAGGCAATGCTGTTCAAAGAGAGGAGAGAGGAGAAAGCATAGGATAGGAAAGAGAGAGAGAAAGAGAGAGAGAGAGAAGACACACACACAGAGAATTGGTCTTTCCCAGGGATGCGGTTTCTAATACCAGTGGTCAGTCCTAGAAACATATACATACAAGCATAATAAACAGACCTGACAGGTGTTATTTAATTAAATAAAAAGAGGACATGAATTTGAGAGGGAATGGGATGTGGGAGCATGGGAGAGCTGGAGGGAGGACGGGGGAAATAATATAACATTTTGATTAGAAATAGAATAAATCAAACAAGTTGCATACTTCCAATACACAATGGCACAAATACTGTCATTCAGAAGGGAGAGGTGGAGTCATGGAGAGGTAGAATCAGACCAAAAGCAAGATGAGAACTCAGTTAAGCAAATATTAAAAGCTGTACTTCCGTGACTAACAGCTGTACACATGATACTGGCATATGAGCTCCGAAGACTTGCAGCAGCCCCCCTCCCCAACTTTTTTGGCAGGAGCCCACACATCTCTTTCTTCAGCTGGCTCCCCTTGCTGCCTGCAGAATTCTTGGGTGGACAGTCCAGGTTCCCGATCTTCCTGGGGTTTCCAAAGCAGGCTTGACTCCGGTCTCGTACATCGCCTCCTAGAGGCTGCCTGCAAGACTCTGGTTCGGCCACAGGCCGCCGAGACTCCCACAGCCTCTTTGAAAACTTCCCTGGAAACCTCAGTGAACCCATGACTCACGCATTCTGCATCCAGGCGAAACCAGAATCAAATGGGGCAATTCAATTTCTGGGGCCGATTTCAGCAGTAGCCGGCTCTACTCGGAGAGCCGACTACAGCAGCCTCCAAGTGCCTAGACAGCAAAACATGGGGAAACAAAACCAGGGAAATGATTTGCTGGGCGGCTCAGAGTGAGAACGGTATACCACAGGGCTCTCTTTTCACCAAAACCTTAAACCTGAGAAACTGGCTGGGTCTTGCTGATTCCCGACACGCTCTGCGGCATCGTTTCTAATGTTACACTGCAAAGTAAAGAGCTCCTTTTTGCTTGGCACAGATGTACAAAATGTCTATTGGTTATTTTCATGCCCATTACGCCCCCTAACCCCTCCTACCCTCCTCATGCCTTTCCACTTTCGTGTCCTGTTTTGATCAGTACCACTAGCATGAGCATGCTGGCTTTTTTGGCTGTTGTCAAATGTCGCTAATTTCTTAAGCAGGCAAACGTTCCTCGGCTACAACTTTAAAACTATTATGATCTAATTATCAGCTATTTCCCACGGGGCCCATGCCTTAACAGTTTCGTCTCCAGCTAGTTACTGAAAACTTCATGGGTAGGATCTCCTGCAAAAGGTTAAACGTTTCTATAGATCCTGGGAATCTTGTCTCTGGCCCTTCCTGTCCCTTATGAAGTGAAGAATTCCTCTACCACACACTTTTTAACCACCTCTGTGTTCTGTGCAGTTGCAGGGAGCCAAGCACCCATGGAAACCCTAAGACCATGCATGAGCGGTCGGTCTTCCTTTAAGTCAACTGTGTCACAACTCTGGTCCTTTCTGGGGTCATGACCCTTTCACAGGGGTCTCATATCAGATATTTACAGTATGATTTATAACCATAGAAAAACTGTCAGTATGAAGTAGCAACAAAAATAATTTTATGGTTGAAGGTCATCACATGAGGAACTATATTAAAGGGTCACAGCATTAGGAAGGTTAGAACCATTGCTTGAAGTTATTGTCTCGTCCCCCAAAGACCTTGTTTCTAGCTGAAACCACATCAGCCAGTCTCTGCCGTCCTCGTTCCTGTCTGTGTTCTGGGCTTCAGATCCCACCTCACCTGCCGTTAAACAGCACTTGCAGCTGTCTGGGGCTCTCTAGTTCCTCCAAAACTTCCCTCGCTCATCCCATTGATTCCAGCTGACCTCACTTCTTGGTACCAGGTTTTCTCTGTCAGTCAGGTTTCTGCCACTGTCTCAAAGCAATGGCGCTAGGTCCGTGTAAAGAGGACGTGCTCATTTTGGTCCTTGGTTCCCGGGGTTTCAGCCCACAGTTTCTTGGACACGTTACTATGGTAAGGTAGAACCATGTTGGGAGAATGTGGTTGATGAAAGGCACTAACTTCTTGGTGGGAACGCGTTTCAGAGAGTGAGGAACGGGCTTGAGTACTGATAGCCTGCCCTTTTAAAGGCACCCCCAGAGATGTACCTTACTTCCCGCTCAGCCCTGCCTCCCAAGGTTTTCACTGCTTTCCAAGAAAACAATCAACAGGGGAATCAAGTTTCCAATAAATGAGCTTTCCAAGGTATTTAAGATCCAAATCGTAAGGCATGAAGTTCAGGGGATGTTTCAACTTCTCAAGGAAAGATACAATCCTCAAGACAAAAGTAGCTAGCTCCTTTTCTCTGTAACATTTCCTGGGTTCTCCATTCACCCACTATGCATTAGGGGTTTAAGCTTAATCTCTTAGGGGTTTCCTCACACTATTTATTTTTATTTAGTGTTTATAAGTCTTTCCTTCCTTCCTCCCTCCCTCTCTCCCTCCTTTTCTTCCTTCCTTCCTTTCTTTCTTTTTTTCTCCTCCTCCTCCATTTATTTATTTATTTATTTATTTATTTATTTATTTATTTATTTATTTATTTTTGTCTGTATCCATGGAGGCCAGAAGAGGGTATCAGACTCTCTGGAACCAGAGCTACAGGTGTCAGATGACTGCTGGGAACCCAGCCCAGGTCCTTTGGAAAAGGAACCAGTTCTCTTAAGAGCTGAGTCCTTTCAAGTACTGTTTCCATGCTCAGTAAGACGGTGATGAGCCAGGGAAATGGCGTGAGGCTAGTGGCACTTGCTCTACAGGGTTGCTTCTAATCCATGGTGTCTCTCTCTCTCTCTCTCTCTCTCTCTCTCTCTCTCTCTCTCTCTCCCTCCCTCCCTCCCTCCCTCCCTCCCTCCCTCTCTCTCTCTCTCTCTCTCTCTCCCCCCCGTGTGTGTGAATGTCTTCAAATGGTCATGCGTTCATGAAATTTGCAATAGCACGATATTTGACAAGTTAAAAGGAGTGACTCTTTTCATCCTGGCTTCCTTTCTGTTTCTATTTTCCTTGTGTTGGCGTTGGGAGTGGCCCTGAGTAGCTTTGTACTTGGCTTAATGACATTTGTGTAGGGAATGCATTTAGCTTGGGTTAAATGGGGGTATATTTATGTGGTTTCTGTCAGGCAATTTCACATATGGTTGAGTTATGAATAGCCACCATGCTGAGGGACGACTTCCAGGAATTTTCCCAAGCCCATGGGGTTGATGTGCCTGATGTCAAGACAAAAATGTGCAGAGCCAGAGAAAGCATGGGCAATTTGTACCAGCGTGGGGACTATGTGGGGAGCGGAGGAAACACAGGGCTGGAAACACATAAAGCCAGAGGTTAGTCTGTGGGAAACTCTTCCACTCATCAAAGTAAAGGACTGGGTTTCCAATGATGCCTGTTCCAAAGTGCATTTCTTCCTAGTTAGGGCCAACTCTGGCAGTGCAATATATATGTTGAGTTCACCCTATTTATGCTCTGGGTTTTCATAGTATTTGCATGAGTTAAGATCTATAGGGTGGTGATGTAACTCAGTTGTCCTTAGGGTTTCTATTGCTGTGAAGAGACACCATGACCAAGGCAACTCTTAGAAAGGAAAACATTTAATTGGTGTGGCTTACAGTTTCAGAGTTTCAGTCCCTTATCACCACCACAGGGAGCATGGTTATAGGCAGATACGTTGCTATCCTGTGGGACAATGGTGTTACCCTGTAAAGATTTGTTTCTTGTGCTTGTTTAATAAACACTGATTGGCCAGTAGCCAGGCAAGAAGTATAGGCGGGGTGACCAGGCAGGAAGTAGAGGTTGGGAAACCAGGCAGGAAGTAGAAGTGGGGCAATGAATGAGAATTCTGGAAAGAGGGAAGTTTCAGTCCACAGTCATGACCCCTAGCAATGCTGCAGCTTAGGTTCTTAAGAAGCATTTAGCATTTAAGAAGCCATCCTGGTCAGAAAAGGGTTACAGAAATGCAATAAGGACAGATTCAGACATAAAAGACCTCTAAATGAGATACAATGTGTTTAAAAGATGTACATAGGCTTGGGAGAGAGAAGAAAAAGGGTACAGAGAGTTAGAAAAAGAAATAAATCATTAGAAATAAAGCAAAGACTTAAAAAGACTGAGTACAGACAGTCATAGATTAAAGGAGTAAAGATAATAAAATAAATATTAAAAGTAATAGAGTAAGAAACTATAAGCTATGTCAACATGGAAAATACACAGAGAGTCTGGATTCACATACACACATAAGCTCACACTCACACACGCATGCGCAGTCACACACACATTCACAAACTCACACACATGCTCACACTCACACAATCACATGCACACATATTCACATTCAATCACACTCACTCACATACACTCACACACTCATATGCACTCACACACACTCACAGACACATGCTCACACAGTCACACAATAAACAAACAAACAACAAATGAATGTATTGAAGTAGAGTGACCTAGGCTTGAGTCTGAGTTCAGCTATGTACTACTCATGTAGACTTACCCTCTCTGAACTTCAGTTTCTAAAAAAAAAAAAAAACTCTTTTTGTTTTAATTATGTATATGGATGTCTCTGAGTGAGTACATGCACTTGTGTGTAGGGGCTCACAGAGGATGGAAGAGGGTGTCTGACCCCTGGAGCTCAAGTTACAAGCTGTTTTAAGCCACCCAAAGTGTGTGCTGGGAATTGAACTCAGGTGCTCTGTTAAATTTCAGTTTATCTATGTTGTAATAACAGAACATATTTTTGTCACAAACTCAGAAGTTGTTGTCAAGATTATATGCAGGATTAGACAAGCTGAAAACTCTTAGTGACACATCGCGTGGGTTCATTCGTAACTCTAAGTTCTTAAAACCATGGTTACAAATCCATTATTAAATAAGTGGTTTTTTTTTTAAAAAAATAAAACTTTTTGTCTATTTCCTTGTGGATTTCACAACATGAGCCTCAATCCCACTCATCTCTCTGTTCCTTCATTACCACCCTCTGCCTTTGCAACCTGCCCCCAAAATAAATAAAATAAAATTTAAAAAAATGACCCAAACAAAAATCAGTCTCCTTGTGGAACCTGTAGTGTGTCACAGTGTCACACAGCGTAGCCTTTAGCCTGCTCATCTTTACTTGTAGATGTTCATTGGTCTGGTTCCAGGCTCTTGCCTTCTGTTACACTATCTATACTGGATCCTCATCGGGACTCCTCTTGGATATCCCGTTGTTGCCCTGTATCGTGAAGAGCCTGCAGCTTTGGATCTGCAGGGCCAGCCTTTTCATATACTCCAACAGTTCATACATGGGGTAGATGTCAGGATGGGCCAACCCAGTCCTGGATCTACACCCGGCAGGTAGCTGAGCTGGCCCTCCGCCAGCTCTCCCCATACTCACCACCAGGGTGAGCTCTCTGGCTACAGGCAGCAAGGGGAGGGGCCAGATCTCCCGCTCTCGCACCCTACAAGCTCACTGGCACCCACACCATAGGGGCTAGCTCTCCTGTGCTGCCCAGGGGAGGTGCAAGACCCCGTTCTCTACTGTGCTGCGGCTGGTGAGGGGCAGGACCTCTGTCACGCTCATGACTCTGGAGCCAGCTCTCCTGCCTACCACAGATGGGGAGGGGGGAGATGGGGAGGGGATCAAAGGGGGACGGGTGGGGCCAGCTCCCACTCTAATGACCTCTGGGGCAGCTCACTCACCCCCCCCCAACCCCAGGGTCAGCCCTACTGGGCTGCCCAACCTCTCCTGAGATGTTTTTAAAAATATATATATTTCATATATTTTTGTTTCCATATATTTTTCATATATTTTTTTGTTTTCATATATTTTTCACTTAAAGCGTATGAATCACTTCCTAATGGGTTTCTGACCATTTGCTTACTTGTTTGTTTGTCTGTTTGTTTGAAGTGACAGTTTGGCGGGGGTCCTTTATTTACATCTCCCTACTGCCCCCCCCCCCCATAAATGGCTGTGGATCTCAAATGGACAGCATTAGGTCCACGTGTGAGGGGGCAAAGGCAGTTTTAACAAACTTTAAACATTCCTTCTATCAACAAGTACCGGTTGTGGAATCTGCCCTATCAGAGCTCATCCCCAGCGTCTTTGGAATTCTTAAATAGCTAGAAGTCTTTAGGGTCTGCTAGAAGTAACGACACCACCGGTTAAGGAAGAAACAAGCTGTCTAAAATGCGCCCACCCACACCATTCTCAGGCCTCTTGAGGGCTGTGTCACTCCGTCAAACAGTACACAAAAGCAGCCTTCTGGGCTTACAGTCCAGCAAGGGATCAGTTAGCACCACGTCCGACGGATTCCATTTGTTCTGTTTAGAGTTCTTGCCCAATGTCAGGACTCTGTGTTCCCTTTCTGATAACTGTGCCACAGCAGCCCCGCTGGGGAGATCCAGGAGTGACTTCCCCGCTCCGCCCGCCCGCCCGCGCCAGCCTTTCCTCCTGGCTCACATCTTTTGCTACCCGCGGTGAGATCTGTAGGCAGACTGCAGAGGAAAAAAGAAGTGGTCAGACAGACCCGGGCTAGAGTCTCCAGTTGTCATTTACTTAGTGCTTATTTAATCTGACTCTTTATTCACTTTGTTTTCTTCTGTAAAGCCAAAATGATTTAGTCTTTGTAGCATCATTGCAAAGGTTGAGCAAGACTGTGTGTGTTAACACTCAGCGCAATGCCCTAGTAATATCAATCCTCTAACAGGTAGGGTTATTATTCCCCTAAGAGCAGAAGGGAGTGAGCAGCACACTTTATGCTTTATATCTTAAACAATATCTGTGTACGACATTACTGTGCAGGTACCATGAGAGAGTCCGCGCCTTTCTTTCTCAGGCTAACCTTTTTCTAGGTAAGGAAGGGTCCCTGAGTGAGGATTGCTCACTTTCACTTCACGAGTCTGGCGGGGATTTACTCTTCCCTGTAATTACAGCACCTACCCTCGACTTCTTGGGAAGCTTGCCAAGTTCCTCACATTTTCGCCACAGAAGGCAGAATTCACCAGAAGCGTGTACTTCTCTTTTCTCAGGAGCGATTCCTTCCCTCAGTCACCAGGAAGTCCCGCCCACTGCCAGCTGCTCGGAGCCTGCACGTACGTACGTGTGCGGCTGTGTGTGCCCCACGGTGACATCGAAGGACAAGCGTGTGAAGCAACGGAGAAGGCTTTTTGCAGCATTGCCTGGAACTCTCGCTAAGCGTTTCCCCTAAGCTCCTTGGTGACGTTCCTCCTGCCAGCTCAAGCTAGTCCCTGTGGCACAGTGATCTTCCTGCATCCGTGGGCAGTACACTGTGGGGAACGCAGCTGGAAATGCAAGCCTATTCGCACTGATCTCTGGGAATTCAAATGATGCTCTTGCGAAACAGCCTTTTTTTTTTTTTTTTCTTGGTTATACTGTACCGCTGCTCTCAGAAACGTCCCTTTTTATATTTCCTCGTCTCCTGTCACTGCCTCGGAGATGATAGAGAGGCCATTCAAGCTCCTCCTGCCGTCCTGGGGTTGGTTTGTCTATCACTACAGTGGCTGTGATCATAGCTCTGACTTCGGGAAACTTTACTAAACAATAAACTCAGGGAAAATGTGTGTGTTGCTGTTCGGTATAAACTACAGAAACCCCTTGTTTGGCCTGAGCTCTTGTAGGGGAGCCCAGCAGAACAGGTTAAAAATCAATATGGAGGTACCCACTAAACTTCCTTCTCACCAATTTAAGCAAAGCTGTTTATTTGACCTTCTCAGCGCTAGAGATACAGAGATAACAGGCCAGCTTCCCCAATAGGCTAGTTTTGTTTGGCAGGGTCATAAAGTTCCCTCTCCCTTAGTCCTTACTGGAAATTAATCTTAAGTCACCTGATGTTAGCCAATCAATTATTTATTGTTTTATTTCCCGGTTCTCACTTTAAGGAGAAAGTAACTTTGAAATTACTAATCTTAGCTTATAAAATGGGCAATTATAATGAGTCATTTTTAAAAAAACATTGCAATTAAAAAATTCACACCCCCCCCACACACACCCCGTGTAACCAGCATCCTTTGCTTTGCTGGTTGGAACACTTTTCCTCCAAGGCAGGATTTGAGATGGGGGAGCTTTTCACAGTCTAAGTGAGCATGACCCAGGGACCTAAGATGTCAGATCGTTACCACCATCAAAGACAAACCTGGGGACACGGCTCCAGAGTTCCTTGTCTCATGCCCATAAAGATTAAAGGTGTAGACTTTCATGGGAGTAAGCAGAGTGGAAATATGTTTTATTAAGGGTTATTATAGAAAAATAAGAAATTGAATAGAAGTGAGAAACTAAAGAAAAGCGAGGGAAATTCCCAAGACCTGGGAGGGGTTTCCTAGAGAGGGAAAGGCTATGAAATTCCTTTGGTAGTTTTTATGCGGGGGGACGGCAGAAACTGCACAAAGCTGAAGCAATCTCGATTGAGACGCTTGGTGGATTCTCTGGGTTATTATGGGCTGAGCCAACAGCGGACCCATATACTCCATGCCTGTCTCCCTGGTCCACACAGGTGGACCAGGTCATGTGATGCTCATTCTCTGCCCACCCAGCTGAGGGCAGCTGAAGCCTCTGTGTCCCTCTGTCTGACGTGTGCTTTGGTAGCCCTTGACCTCGACTGTTAGTGAGCATTTTGTCACTTGGCCCGTGTTAAGGCTCTGACCCTGCAGGTGTTCCAAGTGCCATTAATTATGCTGAGATCAGTCTGTTCTCTAGGTAACCAGGAAGTAGATGCAACGCTGGGTTATGTTTTGTCTACAACAGGATGGCTCAGGGGTCTTTGTCCTGAAAGGAAGCAGGCTTCTTAGACATCATTCTCACACAGCTGAGTCTGTTACATCTAGCTGCATTAGAAACCGTAAATCGGGGCCTATGTACTAAACAATGGGGCTTAGCTTGTGTTTTCCAGAGAGGAAAGGTCACACTGAAACTAGCCAGTCATCCTTCTATAACTGGCCTTGCTTCTTAGAGCCTGTTGGTCTCTTAGCAGGTTCGCTTGCTTATCTTGTATTAGCTGTGAGCATCTCTATCTCTCCCCCGCTTCAGTGCCCCTGATGATACTGTTTTAACCCTTACCTTCCCTTTACATCTCAACTCCATTCTTCTGTTAGTGGAAGTAGGCAACTTGTAGTTTTCACCACGGCCCCCTTTCTCTTACTGCCTACGATGAGCTAACTCCTGCCTCACCCGTTTTATGGAATGAAATGTTACTAGATTATAGAGTAAAAGATAAAAGTGTTATTTTGTCCTTTGACCCTGCTCATATCTAGTGGACCAGTTGCTACTTTCACATATGAAATAACCCCCACATTTAGTAGTTTAAAACACTCATCTTGTCTGATATGAGGGGTGCATGTCTGTAATTCTAGCTCTCAGGAGGCAGAGAAAAAAGGACTCACTCAAATTCCATGCCAGCCTGGGATACATAGCGTAACCTGGAGGAGCTGAAGAGGGCATCAGTTGGCCTGGGACTAGAGCTAAAGATGGCTGTGAGCCACCATGTGGGTGCTGGGAAGGGAACCTGGTCCCTTAGAAGAGAAGCCAGAGGTCTTACCATGAAGCCATCTTTCCAGTTCCCTTTTCTGTCTTTGGATTTCTCATAATTATATATACTATTTCATCTTCACATGCTTCATCTTAACCTCTCTCTACTGCTCTGACTTTTCCCCATGGCGTTATTAAAAGTTTAAGGGAAATACATCCTTTGATCCCCTTTCTACCCGGTTCTCTTTTCTCTTTTCTCATTCTTCCCTCATCAGCCTACAGAACTGCAAAGTCTCTAACAACACATTTTTATATTGAGTTGTGTGTATTAAGCATTTATCAAAAAACCTACATTCAGAATACTGGTCTGAATTTGGAACATTTGGAACATTTTGCAAGATAAATTTATTGGAAACTGAAAGCAATCATGAATCATCTTTGCATCCCTAAAAAAAAGTAAAGTATCATGATTGGCATATCGTAGCCCACACGTTAAAATAGATTTTGTGTGATTCAAATTAACTCAGGAGGAAAAGTTAATTGAAAATAACCTGAGTCTTCACTGTCAGGCATAGAAAAAAAATCGAGATTTGATTTGCTTGGGATTCCAAAGTACAATACACAGAAGAGTAAGAAACAACGGCCTGGCAAGGAGAATAGTGGGCCCCCCAATACCCACATCTTAATTCTGGGACCTGTGGGCTTCATCGAAAATTCAAAAAGAGGAGTGCACTTAGGTTATGGAGGTGCCCTTAGTGTATCCTGAGGGTCTCCATACGTGGGGAGGGTGGGGGAGGGAGTCAGAGTTACACAGTGTGAATAAGGCTAGACCAGCTCTTGCTGGATTCTGAAGCAGGAAGAGGACTGTTCGTCTGAATACGACATGTTCCCCTATGTTCACGTATTGAATGCTTAGTTCCCAGACAGGGCTGCTATTTCGAGATGTATGGGAGACATTAAGAGACGGCTATGGTTGGAGGAAGGTTAGCAGGGTGGGCCTTTGAAGGGTACACCTGGTCCAAAATCCCTTCCTCGCTCTCCGCCTCTTGCCGCCATGAAGTGAACACTCACTTCCACAGGCTCCTGCCACCACGCCGTTTGGCCCAGGCAAGTGGGGATCAAGAGACCATGGACTGAACCTTCTATAAGCACGAACTGGAACAATCTTTCCTCCCTTGAGTCGCCTTCCGTGGATGTTAGCTCACAGCAAGGCTAAGCTAGTCAATGGGTGAAGGGATGAACGTATTCCCTAGGAACTGGAAGAGGAGGAGAGAAAGCGGCCTTGCTTCCAAATCCCTAGTCCAGTAAGACTCTCGGAAGACGTCTGCCTTCAGACAGTGAGCCAGCCAGCCAGCGTCTGTTGCCTCAAGCCTTTAAGCCCCTGGTACCTTGTTATGGCAGCATTAGGAAAACAACTCAAAAGGCCAAGTTAAATGAAACAAGAAGTGGGGAAGGAAGCATCAGAGGTCAGTAAGGCACAAATTGCCAAATAATCTCATTTTCTACGATCACAGCATATATTCACCCACCCCACCTCTTCTTGTGTTTTCACTTCTGCAAAACCAAGTATGAAAAAAAAAAACAATAATTGGACTTTTGGGAAAATTAGGGTTGGTGCGGTCTTCTCAAAACATGTGGCATTTATAATTGGAGCACTAACAAGAGCGAGGCTGATGGAGATAGCAACATTAGTTTAGTGGCCTCAATCCTGGCTTTTCATCTCCAGACAACTGTCTTTGATTCACTATTTCCACTCTTACCACCGAGGTGTATCACTTCTCCAGGAGAGTAAAGTGCTTTCAAAGGCAGTTGTTTCTAGGGAAAGGCTCCATTCAAATTAAGAACCCAACCCTAGGGGCTGGGGAGATGGAGATTAGTAACTGCTTGGTGCATGAGCATGAAGGTCTGCTCTTGGATCTCCAGCACCCGTATAAAACCCAGTCACACAGCAGGTGTCGGAAACCCTAGCGTTGAGGAGGTGCCTCCTGCTCCAACCACCGTGCCCTCCCCACAGTGAACTAATAGAAGGCCTCATCTACATAGCAGCCATGGTACATGTGGGTTTCAAGTCTACAGCCTGGTCCTGGAAAGATTAAGGCTTCACATATATTAATACATGTTCTTATATTAATAAGAACTAATACTAATTTCTTTCATGTGTGTATTTTGGGGGGGGGATTTTATTATGCAATAGCCCAGATTAACGGTGAACTCTGGCTCTTACTGGCTCAGTTCCCAAAGAGCTAGAGTTACAAGTTTGAACCACCATGCCACGCCTCTTAGGCAGTTTATATATTTTAAGATTTTACTTTTATTCATGTGTATGTGTCTCTGTGAGTAGATACCACATGTGAATGGGTGCCCAAAGAGGTCAGGAGAGGGTGTCAGATCCCCTGGAGCCATTGTGATCTGGCAAGTGTGGATGCTGGGATCCGAACACATGTCCTTTTAAGACCAGCAAGTGTGCATAACTGCTAAGCCATCTTTCTGAACCCTTGTCTTATTTTTGATTAGGGCATATAATTGTACAAAAATAATGCGTTCCCTTGTGCCGTTATCCATAAGCATACAAACCGCCTCGATCATATTCTCCCATGGACTTAGTTCTTTCTTCTCTTTGCCCCCTCCTCTCCTTTTCTCCTCCCCTTTCCCCCTCCCTGTTTCTGAGTCTCTTTTTACACATCTTACTTTTGGTCTACTCTCTGTCTTGAGGGTGACACTCCTGACTGAGGGGGCAATTTATGTATTCCTGCCAAGCCCTGTACTGCCACTGGGCTCCCCTCACTGTGATACACAAAAGTACCACACCCCAGCACTGTGGTCCCAGACTTTATTCTACTGCCTGTTCAATGACCACTGGTGTTCAGGCTAGCCAACATCTCGCACAGCCAGCCACGTTGGTTGGAGGAACA